TGAGCGTAGTTTATTAAGCTATCTAACGTATGATGTAACTAACCACTACATTTATAAAGATAAATTATAAATAAATTATAATTCTTTTTATAAATTTAGGAATTGAATTAGCATTTTGAAATGAAATTATTTAGTGATTATTCATACAACATTTAACAGAATTTTAGGCGTCCTCTATATCGAAGAAATACTAAATATCCACGTAAAATCATATTTCACACATACTGTTCATTCACTGGAAAATCTATTCGCAGTGAAGGAGCATGTCTGTTCCTTCACTGGTTAGAAGTTGTTTTATGTATTTTTAACAGAATTTTGCTGTATAATAGGACTGAACATACAAGAAAATTAAACTGTTCCTTTTATTTTTCTTAACTTGGAAAAATTACAGTAGAGGAACACTCGTTCATTCATTGGCTTTTCATCATTTGGTAATCCAGATAATAATCTCAGTACTTACTTATACTAAGATACTTAAAATAAATAAAACATAACTTCAATAACCATATTTTGAATTCTCTTTTTCACAGAGAGAAAAATAAAACTTTACGAGCAATTAATTGAACTTTAAACAAAAAACTACAAACACTGACCTTATAATTTTGTCAAAGAAGCAATGCGTTGTAGAGATACTAACAAATTCAAAATTTTTTGACTGTATGACCTGGTAACCCAATGCATTGTTAGATGTTTTCCTATTGTTCTATATGTAAGCTACTGTTACCAATGAGTCTAAGTAAAAACTTTTAAAAACGTATTTTTAAAAAATATATATAAAATGTTCGTTTATTGGGGCGTGTTCCTTTATTGGTTGGTTTACCCTATTAAACTTCTTACATCATTTTTCCTTTTTTTTTTATTTATCTGTATTCACTGAAATCAATGAAACTAGCTCTCAAAATTTGACTATTTTTATTAGCCGAAAGAAACGCAGCGTTGAAATAATTTTTCAGCAAATTGAAAATTAAGATCTCAAACACTTTCTCTAAATCTAATTTTCGCTAAAGTAGGGCTTTCTTTTATCAAAACAATTTTTGCGATTTTCATAGTTAGCATGAAACGCTCTGACTAAAAATATCTAATACAGGCCTTTTGTGCTATTTTCATATTTCCGCACGCTGGGTAAATAATGGGAAATACTTAACAGAGAAGTCATCTTGGCTTTTCCTGCCATTTTCATAATTAGTAAAGACCGTTCTGATTAAAAAATAAGCAATTCTTAAGCGAACAGTTATCTTGACATTTTGTGCCATTTTCATAGACCACACTGACTAAAAAATAGGCGATTCTTAATCGGACAGTCATCTTGGCATTTCGAGCTATTTTCATAATTAGCATAAACGGTGCTGGCTAAAAAATAAACAATGCTTAAACAGTCATCTTGGCTCTTTGTGCTATTTTCATAATTAGTATAGACAGAACTGACTAAAAAACAGGTAATACCTAACCTAACAGTCATCTTGGCCTTTTGTGCTATTTTCTTTATTAGCATAGACCGAATTTAGCCTATCCGTCATGAATAACTTTTGCAAACATAATATATTCAAAACAGTACATTATAATATAGTAAAAATAGTATGTAACAAAAAAGAGTTATTTCATGTGACAAACAAGTCTTAGATGGAAACCATAACCAATATTTTATAAAGTCCCAGAAATGTTAACTATATTTCAAAATAAAGTTGGATACTATACATAAACATACTTATAATGCATGAGTTTTCGCGAAAAATACTTGAAAAATTATTAAAAACTTACCTTCACAAATTGTTCTCACCACGATAATCAATGACTTACTTTATTTTCTAAATGGAAAACATTTCTAAAAAAAAATCTTTAAATATATTTTTGCATAGAGATAAAGAGAGATATATATCTCTACCATAAGTAGTTTGATGAACTCTTAAAGTGTTGAGATAGATTTGCACGTGTGGGAAGTTAAATAAGGTTTGATGCGTTTTATTTTATTTCGGACTATATCGGCAATCTAAATCACATGACAATGAAATGAATACTCATTTCCCTTTAACATTCTTTTCATAAGTAGACAAACAAGGTCAGAAGTAGATTGTTAACAGTAAAAACGTCGATTATAATTCTTTTACTTTTTTTTAGGAACGTGTGAAGATTCACGCAGTTTCTTGCACGATGAACTGAAATGAAGGAGTTAAGGGAATTTAATCGGCAGAAATTCATTTTAATGAAATAAAGCGATAAAAATTTAAAAACTGTGTTTTTTGAATGAACTAAAGCGGAGAAATAAATTCATTTTTTTAAGGATTTTTTAAAAAGAAGAATACGTAACTTCATTTAATGTAGTCATCCCTTGACAAAGAAAAACGTAGGGAAATTAGCAGCGGTGATTGACGTTTATAAGGAAAGTGATGCGTTTTTTGTTTTTCGTTTTTGGTCTCATAAAAGTCAATTATTTTCTTCTTTTTTACACTGAGAAAAAAGTACGGTTGAAACAACTAGATATGGCGAACCAATGGCACGCGTGCCATTTATGGCACTCGACACAATATTTTGGTCACTCCACCAATCACAATTGTTCTTACACTATGAATTGTTATTACACAAATGTTATTACGCTATGAAGCATATGTAACAATTAAATTAAAATTCACAAAAAACAAACAAAATAATAAACAATTATTAATCAAAAAATTAAAAATTAATACTAAAGAAACAATTAATAACCGTAAAAAACAAGCTAACAATAAATAACTAGCAAAAAAAAAATCAGCAGTCCTGCTTAAACTAACATCTTACAACCAAATATAAGTTATTGGTCATCTAATCTGCAACAACAGAAGTCACACTGATGTTACTTTAAGTTGAATTACATGTATAACTGAGACATGTATACAAAATGCATTTTTTTTCAATGTAAATAAAGAGTTTTGAGTTGATAGTAATTAGTATTATTATTTTCTCAATAATCACGCAGTCAAAATTATTTGACGGCACGTCTATGACCTCATTAAGCAATTTTTTAGAGAAAATGGCACTTTGGTGTGTAAAGGTTCGCCACCCCTGAACTAGAATACGGCAAAAGTCGCCGCGTTTCTGCCTCCGTGGGAACACTAAAACGCTTGATAATTTTAACGGAGTGCTTTGGTTACGATTTTGGTAAAATTAACAATAAAATATGGTTTTATAACATTTAGCATTACATTTGGTAATAACTTTTGGTAAGTGTGGTAACATACGATAATTTTATCCTGGTGTCTTACAGCGTGGCATAGAACCTATTTTTTCGATTAAGTTTACTTTTCTGTTTTGTATAAACCAGAATTTGCTTCGTCTAATATTGGCATCATAATCATAATAACGTGCAACCTTGCAGTAAAATAATTGTAATAAGACAAACCACGCTTCCGTTCAAGTTGACGCGTAAAATGTTTAAGAGGAAAAAGATTATATACCTAACGCCATATTAAAGTTGAAACTAATTTAAGCCATAATCTGCCGCTAAATTTTAATCAACGTGAGGAATATTGTAACAAAAATAAGGGAACAATGGCCGCAATAGAAAAAGATTGCTATTTCTGCCATATCATCGTGTTTTATTATCTAATTATTACTATAAGAGAAAAATTTCCGCAATGTTTTCATGGAAATTTTTAAGCATGTAGCTAATTTTCTGTACTAAATATTTTACTGAAAGTGTGGTAATAAGAATTATACTATTGAAAACTAGAATTTCCAGCTAACTATCAGCATGTAAAGGAAAAACAATTACTAAATGAATGGATTTTGATTTTCTTACCAGAATTTTTTTCCTTTAATTTTTATTTTACCAGAAATGTGATTACCATACATTACGGTAATTTCCCCACAAATTTTTCTTCCGTGTAGTCAACATGCGAAATGTAGTAACTAAATTTTTTTTTGTATTAATCATTTTCTTCTTTTAGTTTTGTGTTTGCTTTTGTTGGAAATTTTAATTCATAGTTGTTGTTTTTTTTTTTACAAAATTTTGAATTATGATAAATCTACTAGCGTCATTTAGGAAACAATTTAAAGTTTAAAAACATGGCATTTTCAATTTTTTTTATTAAATGTCAATTTTGATATCATTGAGGAATAAGTGATTAAGAAATAAATGAGCTGTCACTATTGCTGGGCTTACACAGCGAGCTCAGCTTCAGCTCAGCTCAGACCATCTTGTCAGAAATGTAAAGATCGCAAGTTCGCAATGCCGATAACATTTTTCCTATCATACTATCAGCCACGAAACTATGGAGCCATAACCCCTTAACGATCGATTAATTTTCAAGAAAGCGATCATAAAAGTGCCTATTTTGCCAAATACGCGTATTTGATTAGTGCTGACATCTAGTTTAAAAAAAACTAACCATTTGCAATTAATTTAAAAATATCTTGGCAGTAAATGAATCTATTCTTATCTATTATTTAAAATATCTGGTGTGTAAAATGAGAAATAAAATGTTTTCCGGGCAAAAGAAATGAATTAGTTTTATTCTTATTGACGTGTTACTACTGAACACTCCAGCCCTGAAATTTCACGGGAGCGAGAAATAGAGGGGGAAACCACACCCTGTCATTTTCACCTGAGCGAGACGGAAGGGGTTACATAGGAACTATGCTGAGGAAACTTACTTTTATACAATAGAAAAAAAATAACCGAAAATAAAATAAAACCTTTTTACAAAAAATTGAAGAAGATTATTTAAAGAAATCGGGATTCATTACATTAAAACATATTTGATTGCCAGAAACATTTTTAAAAAAAGAAGAAAAAAACGGTGAAGAGCGATAATGAGAAAAAACGTCAAATTTTTACCCAGCAATAAAAATTGTTTCCCCATCTTCTTCAATAATATTCACTTGATTTTGATAACGTTTTCTCTTCTTTTAAATATTAATATATGAAACCTTTTGATTTTCATTTCTTTCAAGGATTAAAAAAAAAAAAACTTTACCGAGATGATTATGCCTTCACCAATAGCGCTGAATGATGAGTCTTGTATAACTTCAACTCATTGTTTTTATTACAATACATCTAATCAAGATATCAAAATAAACATATATTTGATAGATTTCGTGATGAAAATTTCAAATGTAATTCAATTTCAATCTCCTCTTTCTGTTGTCAATCCAAGATCTATCTTTTCTTGCAATTCACACACCTTCTTTTGTAGTTCTGCGGAAGCTTTAAAAGCACCTTGAAATGCTTTCTCAGTGTCTCGAGAGCATTTTGAGAAAATCCTATCTGCGCATTCTTGTGCTATGTCAAAGGTTCTATGAAAGACAACAAGAAATAAATGAGAAAAATTGCAAACAAGATTTACTCTAATCGTGGAATAATTCAAATTTTATACTGAACCGTTGATTTAAATCAACGACATAAATTTCTTACGATTGCTCTTGTAGTTAGCTTTAATCGTAAACATTCTTTTGAATTTGATTAAAATTAGTGATTCGAATAATAAAGAACTTTACTATTTTTTTTAAACGCATCAATTTATTCAAATAAAAGCAGACCTATTTATTTATTCCGGTGTATTTTTTGTCTGATTGATTTACTCCTCTGTTTTAAAATGAAACTTATTTTTATAATGAAATGTTTTTTAAATATGTCTCAGAAGCACTTTAAGTAAAATCGGTCAACTGATTCTAATTTTTTATTCTTCTGCCGCCATATCTCTTAATGATGTTGTACCTTTGGTTACTGTAAGCTACTGCAAAATTACTGTGAAGGAATGTTGAAAAAAATTGATACCTGACAAAAAATTATGAAATTTGAACACTCAATCACTGATTTTAATTAACATCACTTATTATTAAGAAAAGTTATTTTTAAATTTTAAGTATAGTTTTAAATCTTATGCAAATTATTTGATTCAAATTAATTACTGTGAAGGAATGTTGAAAAAAATTGATACCTGACAAAAAATTATGAAATTTGAACACTCAATCGCTGATTTTAATTAACATCACTTATTATTAAGAAAAGTTATTTTTAAATTTTAAGTATAGTTTTAAATCTTATGCAAATTATTTGATTCAATTGAATATGAAAGTTGGTTATCGGACAGTTGACTATAGCTAATGATTTCAATAAATAATGATTACGATTGTAAGTTGATTTCAAATATTAAACATAGTTTAGAATCTGATTCAAATACTGATAATGGATTTGAATAGGGCAATACACACAGACAGGTTTATTAGTATTGAATCAGAGCATCCATTGATCTGCTATTGTATCAAATTCTCTCTGTTTAATTAAAAGTTGTGAACATTTAATTGAACTTATTTCGAGAATCTATTTAATCTTGGTTTATGCATTTTTAATGTTTTCTAACCTTTTTCAAAGTTAAAAACCTGGCAGAAAATTAGCACTTAACAAAAAATTAGGAAAGATGTATCCTGTATCGCTGATATAAATAAATGATAGACGTCTCTAAAGTTTATGATTATAAAAGATTTGAATAGGTATATTTTTCCAGAAGATTACTCCAGAAAAGAAAAGAAGAAAAATTATTCCAGTTTTGAATGAATTAAGTATTTAAATACCGCCTTCATTGATGACCTGTATCTCTTGATTATTTCGATTTTTCTAAAATTAGCAGGTCTATATCAAGTCTTCTGGTAGGTCAAGTATACTTGTTCTATAAACTCTGCCCTTTTCTTAAAAAAAAATTTAGGTATGTGCGCTTTTGTTCAAAATATCTTGAATTAATTAATTCTTAAGAAAAAGATACAACTCATAATTCAAAACATTTATTCGAATCATCTGGGGGAATTGATTCGGTTTAGTTTCAGTTGTCGTTATATTTAACCATAGCTACAAAATAAACTTGCACTCAACCAATTTGAATTTTAATAAACAAATTTCAGAATTTAAATGCCTACGTTTTGATATGTAAGTTTAAATACGCTTTCAATCTTGTAGTTCAAACCACAAAGCGAGAAGAAATTTGCACCATCTATTTAACTCTGTGGTCAAAAATAGTTTTAACAGATTTTGAAAATCTTATAATATTTTTTTACTTGCTTTCTAGACATCTGCAACAGATCTGCATAACTGTTTAATTTGATTTAATTGTTTGATTTAATTTTATGCCATTTTGGTGAAAACGAAATTATTTGAAATAATATGTTTAAGAGATATTTAAATAATGAAACTTTCAATGTCAAATAAATTTAAATTATACTGAAAATGTACTACACTGAAATGTAAAATGTTTTAAATAATATTGCAAAAAAACTACTTACTGGCATATAGTACCTTCCTCTACGTCACAATATTTTAAATCTAACCATGTATCGAAGCTACAATTTTTATCTTTTTTCACAGCTAAATACAAAACAAATAAACAAAATAATTAAATTAAAAAAATAAATTAAAACAAATAAATTAGAATAGCATTTATTAGAAATTAAGGAAATAACGAAATGTTGTAACTTAGGTTTTAAATGCAATATTCATCTTAAAATTAATTTTCCAGTTAAATTATTGCAAATTCCTACCCCCAATTTGTTTAAAATCAATTGTGAAAGAGCATTTTTCCAAACGAAAATGAGAAAACTTGCATGATTAATGTTTAACTATTACGGACTTAGAATTTTTTGCATTCAAAAATGTAGTTTGTTCTTAAAACAGCGTTTTGTGCTATTCAACTAAGCTATTAACTTCAGCAACAAGCGTTATACCACAAATTTTAAATTAAAAATATTTATATCACAAATTTTAAATTTTTTGGATTTGATGCTGACAATTTATGATAAATCTAAAAAGAATAAAAAATAATGACAATTTATAATAAATTCAAATATGATGAAATTTGATGAAATTTTTGAATGAAATGATGACATTTTTTTTTTAATGAACTCTAAAAAAATTTACCTTCATTGGCTGCTGTACCCTCTGTGCAAACATCAATTTCTGTGGCTAAGGCTTTTTCTGCTATTTCGGCAAATCCAGTATGGCAAACCAATGCAGCTTCGAGATCACATCTTGTCATATTTGGAGTTATACTACAAATGTATAGAATGAATAATTCCGTTAACATTTGAAATTCTTTTGGGTTATTAATGCTGTACTGTATCATTAATACTGTACTGTAATTCGATAATGTATCATTCATTACTGACGCAAAACGTCTAGAGGTTGATTATAATTTGACATCTAAAAATCTGGTAAAATAATGATCGTTTGTCACAGTGGAATGAAAAGGAACATGAGTTTTTACGGAAAAAGAGAAAATATATAGCAAGAAAGAAACATCTAATATATATAATTCTCTTACGTGGCTCCCAAATTTTGGCTGTATTTCTTTTCCGCCGGTGGCAACGTTTGCTTTGTTTTGTTTACGTTACTATTTCTCTTACACGGTGAATCGACCAATGATTGCCGCTAAAAATGTCACATGCCAAATCTAGCTGAGGTGGCTCAACATATAGCGCTTTTAAAAACGGAAACTGAAATAACCAGAGAGCATCAGCTGCGGCAATCTCACACTATTAAGCTAGGCAGAAGTGAGTAGTCTTTGTCGATAGATCTCTATTTCAGTATTTTGTCGAAAGCGCTTTTTTTCACGAATTTATATATTACGAATTTATTTGACGATTTTTGATTTATATCACGAATTATACTATAGCACATTTGTAATAGGTTTAACCAACTACATGTCATTTATTTGAATTCAAATTTATTTTAATGACATAGTATTTACTAAAAAGATGTATTTTTTTTAAAAAAAAAAAGTTTTTATATGGATTTGAATGATTTTTTTGAAGTCTTAGAATTTTGTGCATTTGCAATTTACCTAAGTTAGTAGCGAGCGAAGCGACCTTGGTTTGCGAAGCAAACCATATAAGATTGCGTAGCAATTTTCGGGGGTTGGCGAGCGTTAGCGAGCAGGGGGCGCAGCCGACTAGTAATTCAGAACTTAGTTATAGATGGCGCCTTATTAATCATTATGTTAATGATTAATAAGGCGAGTGTAAATTTTTGAAGCGGATGAATTTTCTTATCAGGTAATATCTTATTACTGCCGTTTCTTGGGATTGCATCATGTTAATGGTTTCCGGCTATAAGTGACATAATGGCTAAAAGTGACAAAATCCAAGTAAATGTAATAAAGAGCATTTGTGATTTCATGTGTTTGATTTAAAATTTCTCTGCCTGCTTAAGCTTTAAGCCATTTACTTAATGACTAGTAAAGTGCTAAATTAAATAATAATTGGTTTAAAATTTCCCTCTTAGCTATCCGTAAATTTTAAACTATATTTTTTCATATTTCCATTTTCTTTCTGAGTACTTAATTCCTAGTACAGGTCATTTTAGTTAATGGTTCTTCTTTTACAGTCTTTAAAACATCGGATTATAATCAATTCAGAAACCTATTTATAAACAAGTTTTGGTTTCAAATATTGCTTGCATAACGGAAAGATGTATCTTTATAGTCTGTGTACCTAAAGAAATCCTTTCATCAGTTTCCTGGAGTAATACCTGTATCTATGGTTACGAGATAGATCTATTTCAAGTAAGTGTGTGGGGGGTAAACAGATACTACAGTTTGAGGAGTAGGCTGGTAGTCGGATTATTATTAATTTAAAAACCTATTTAAAAACAAGTTTTAGTTTTAAATAATGCTAGCATAACGGAAAGATGTATCTTTGTAGTTTGTATATCGAAAGAAGACTTTTCGCTAGTTTCATGGAGTATTGTCTGTAACTATAGTTACGAGATAGTTCCGTTATTACAAGTAAGTGTATGGGAGTAAACAGTTTCTACAGTTTGTGCAGGGGCTGGTAGGAAAAGTATGAAAAATTCCCTTTTCAAAAATGTGATATTTCTTGTTTTCGGAGCAACAGATAATCCCAGACTCTGAGGCGGGAGGAGAATCTGAGGGCATCTTTGAATTTGGCAAACTATACTTTCATCATGACTTTCTAATTTGTTCATGTTACTTCTTTTCTTTTTAATTTTAGTACGATATTTAATCACTGTCATTTAAATCTATCAGTAATTGAAATATAGTAAGAATTAAGAGACTTGTAGACATATATTAATAACCCACTCTTTTTATCGAGTGAGACACTTTTACATCAAATTGTATTTTTTGTATTGTTTTGATAAGTGTGGTTACTTTACAAATATTTAAAATTCCCCTTAGATGGCTGCACAATTCACAAAAATACCTTATTAACTTCATGTAAATCGTGGTGTTTTCCACAAAAACGAAAAAGGATGGTGAACGGCATACCAGAAATAGGATGCATTGTAAGCAAATCGTCCTCTATTTTGAGGAATTATTTTACACGGTTGCAGTTTAAATTATTTAAAGATTATTTAGGTAACTTCATGGATTACGATTCAAAGCAAGAAACATCTTTTCTTTTAAGCCCGGAAAATTGACAATGCAACGTGAGACTTGGATATTGAATCAATCGAAAAGAAAGTTCTTCAGTTGATTTATTTAGCAGTAAAAAATCAATTTTATAACAGTCGTTAAAGATTTGGATTTTTTTTCTTCTAGAGAAAATTACTTAGCGGGGACAATTATAGACCTGCGCTATAATGGTGACTGGTCTCTAAGTGAAAGGAAGTGATTCTCGGATTCATTCCGCAGAAAGATGGTGCTCCACCACATTGGCATAAAAATGCACGCCAGTTCCTCAATCATAGTCTACCCCATCGCTAGATTTATTATTGCAAGGAATTGCAAAAACAATTCTGAGTTTTGGCGAGCATAGTGAGCGGGGGAAGTAAATTTATAATGATTTTTCACTTACGCACAAAATTCGTCGCTGTCATTCTCTTCAAACCATTGGGACGCACAAGCTTTTCTCGAATCTTCAAAGCACCTAAAATCAGATGCAGCTAAACTAGCTAAAGCTAAAAATACATGTAAAAGTGAATGAAAAAAGATATGGATCCATTTTTGATATTTAAAATATAACTTCAAAATATAATAGCACATTTGCATGCTAGACATTAATTTGTTTTCAATGTCAACATTATTAACACACAGGTATAATTAAATTTGAATTCAGTCTAATTGAACTTGTTTGTTTTACTCTCAGGAATTGAGTTATTTAACCTTATAAGTAAAAATATTCCATACATAGCATGGCAACATACAATATCACTATATGGTACTATTTTTTTTCTTCAAATTATGTCGAAGGCGGATAGTGAGTATACATGTTTCAAGTTACGTTAATCTATTCATTGCTAATCTGATGCTTTGAAGTAATGAATATGACTATTAAACATAATTTAAACTGTAAGATTAAACTGACTTAAACATTAAACTGAAGGAAGGATTGAAAACATTTTAGCAAAAATGTTCATAAAAATATAATTGTTTTCAATAAACGCTGAATTTTTTTTAAAAAAAAATCGATGTTACTCTGAGAATTTACCGTGTTTCAAGCTGTATGGCAAGGAACACCAAAATGCTTGGGAAAGCTCTTTGTTAATGATTTTGGTAAAATTAATAATAGAATATGGTTTTATTATATGTGATAAAATATAGTAAATGAGGTAAAATTTTGTCATTTTATTAGGATACCTGAGAGCATTGTATTAGACCATTCGGTCAAATTTACGTTTCAGTTTGTATTTTTTACTGAATATGTGAAAATAAGAACTATAATTTTCAAACCAGAATTTTAAGTAAACAGTTACCATATGAACGGAAATGATTTAAATAACGTATATTTTGGTTTCTAATACCCGAATCAGGTTTTATTTATTTATTATTTTTTTTATCAGAAACATCATTATCATGTGGTATGATCAGTATCATGTTTCGTAGATACACTACGAAAAATCAGTTTTTCGTAGTGTATCTACGATAAACTGATTTTTTGGAGTTAAGTATCATTAAAACGCAGGAAAATGTTTCGGCTTAAATTGCAAGTGATACTCTTTTTAATTTTACCAGAATATTTTTTCGTAGTGTATCTACGATAAATTGATTTTTTGGAGATAAGTATCATTAAAACGCAGGAAAATGCTTCGGCTTAAACTGCAAGTGATACCCTTTTCAATTTAAGGATTTAAATACAAATATACTTACAGCATAATACAATTGTACCAAAGAACATCATGTTACTCCCCTTTAGGTTTTGTACTGATCTTACTAACTTGACTCGTTTTAAGTAAGACCGTTTGGGAAGTAATCAGGTGTTATCAGAAATCAAACAGGTGATATATTTTCTAAATATTTCCAGTAAATAAAGACATTTTCAAGGTTCTTGAAAAAGTTATATTTTTATCAGAATGAGGAATAAAAAAGAAACGATAAACAATATTGCGTGAGCAAACAGGGAATTGAAATTCCCTCTTTCCGTTCCGTTGTTTCCGGTGCTTTGCGTTCTGACTCCTTAAAACAAACAGGAAAATTTTAAACGTTTGTTAATATTTATTCAAAGTAAATGAGCTGAAATTTTTTAATTTATATTCGAAAAAATGTGTTTAAAAGCCATTCAAAAATTAATTCACTTAAAAGCTGTTTTTTTCAGCAGATATATATTTCCATTGTCGTTTAGCAAAAATACTATCTTGAATTTTGAGTGAATTAATTTTTGAATCATTCCAGTTAATATTAAATGTACGTACTAAACGTAAATATAGTGTTAAAGCTGAATTGAAAGAGTTTAGAAGGATTGGGAGGAGTGATGATGTTGGACGTATAAAGTATATAGTTCTGTTATCATCAGACTAACCATTCAATATTTTCATCTTTATGTAAGACAGAGAAGGTTGTTGTTGTTGTAGTTCATTTACGTCGCACTAGAGCTGCACAATGGGCTATTGGCGACGGTCTGGGAAACATCCCTGAAGATGATCCGAAGACATGCCATCACAATTTTGATACTCTGCAGAGGGGATGGCACACCCGCTTCGGTAGCCCAACGACCTGCGCGCGAGGTCGAGCACTTTACGGTAGAACAGTTTAACGAGGATCAATACCACACACCCTCGGTCCCTACGCAGGCTGATCCAAGTGGGTCACCCACCCGCACACTGACCGCAGCCAGTGATGCTTGACTTCGGTGATCTACTGGGAGCCGTGTCTTAATGATCAGTCCACTGCGGGACAACACAGAGAAGGAAAGTATGGTCAAAACTACCAGGATATGGTACACTTAACTGTGCCTCTGGCTCCCTAAAAACACCAAAGAGCTTGGCAATTTTTAGCAAAGTGCTTTGGTAATTATTTTGCCAAAATTAACTATAAAACACGGTTTTATATTATGTGATAAAATTTCACAATTTTATTATGATACTGGTCTCCAACCCCTGGGCTGCTGACCGGTAGTGGTTTGTGGATCAAACAGCAGCGGGGTACCCAAGGAATATTAAAATATTTGCATTTTATTTAAAATGATTTGTATGTATTCCTCTCGGGGTGGTACGACTTTAAACGAACGATAGGTGAGCCGGAAGTGAGAGACGTAACCTAAAGCTGCAACAATACCACGCATTTAACTGTATTTTATTTTAAAGGCACGTTTAACTACAATTAAATTTGAATTTTCAAATTGAAACATTTCAGAATATGAACAATCAATGTCCCTTCTTTCGCCGGGACGTGGTAAAATTATTAAATGTTAAACGTTCCGCGTCGTTAAAAAAGCTGGGGAGAATTAAATAAAAACATTTTTTTAGTTGAATTTACTTTCCATTTTTCCGTTTTGTATTTTTTACTAAATGCGTTGAAGTACAAACTATAATTTTGAAAACCAGAATTTTCGGTAAACGCTTACCATATAAGACAAAATATCAAAAGAATGGTTTAAATATCGAGTATTTTGGTTTTATTACCAGAATTATATCTTATTTCTTTTTAGTAGAAATATCATTACATAATAATTTCTTTCTTCGTGAACGAAGATAAGGATTATTATTAAGAAAATAGTGCAATGAAATAGAAATAAAATGACTTCACAACAACGTCAAGCCATCAGAAATAATAATAAATAAAAAATGGAATTAATTTAGCTTAATTGATCACTGACATATAAGTATACTATTTGCAACCCTACCGGAGGCTCCAAATAGCCTTTGTGTGAGTGTTTTTTGATTCCCTTTGTATGGATACTTTCTTTGGCTTTTCATTTTAAACACATTGTTTTGAGTCCCCTTGCGTATATATTTCATTAAATTTAATCCACTGTGAACGATGTATATATGTGAATGATATATATATATATATATATATATATATATATGTCAATATGTCATCATACGCCACAAGAGGCATGTCCCCATTATTATTTGGTTACCCTTTTGTATTTGAACCGATGTTTCTATTAACCAAAATTTTCTTAATTTATCTAACTTGAGTTTGACAAATTATTTACCAAATCATTAAATTAGAAAGAAAAAAAGTTTTTCTGCAGTATCCTAGAATATTTTTCTCATTAAATATAAGAAAATAAAAATTTAGGATACATTAAAGGGGAACCTCTTGTAAGGTTTTTCTTCAGTTCATATTTATGTATTTAAGTTTCTTTTTTTAAATAGAATTAATATTTTCTTTTTAAATTTGAAAGAAAATTTTCTCTGGTATTCTTATTAAGTTTGTTTTGCCGTCCTTGTTTTGTTTCTTTAAAGAATTAATATATGTTTTTTTTATATTTGAATACAATGATATTTCCATATTAGCACCAAATCTGTAGTTAATTTAATTTAAAGATTTACATTAGGCAATTAAAAATGAAAATGATTTTTTTTTAGAAGAAACAATTACTAGATTCAATAAGATGTACAAGAAAAGAATTCTCTTCCAGACCTTCATGACATTCCCTTTTTTTTTGGAATCTCACTAGTGGGAGGTCTAATTTCTCTCAAAATCACATCGTAGTAGTTGAAACATTTTATGCTTAAATTAACCTTTCAGGAGCATTTAACCTTTTAAAAATTCTTTAAATTCAACAATCACAGCGGTATTGCAAATCTATAATCAGTTTTCAGTAATTAATAGCGATGCCTAAACTGAAGTTGCGTGACTTTTCTCCTTGCAATCCATCAATGATCAATGAGTTACAGATAGAAATTTTTCAATTGAATTTAGAATATGAGTCATCCAATAGGAATGGTACAATTGACAATTGATTTATTCCAGAGATATATTTCAGCTTCTGTCTTGAAATTCTCTATGTAAAATTTATCTGGAATTCATATTTACTTTTTAATTTCGGATCTTGATAGATTTTTAGTTTTTTAAAGGAGAAAATACTTTTGATTTCAATTTTTTTTAAAAAAATAATATATTTCTATCGCTGGAACTAAATTTCTTCTTATTATTATAAGAAATGTGAAATTCACTGAATATATTCTATAGGCAGGTGAGTTCTAACCAAACTATTTTAAAGCAATGCAAATAAATAGTTTGAAAAGTGACGCTATTTGGTTGTCGATGTCGGAAAGGGAGTATACAGGCGTCTAGTTCTGCTTATATATTCCTTGTAAATCTGACGGTTTGTAACAATGCATATGAGTATTAAAAATCGCTTAAACTAAAGATTGAAAACTTTTTTTCAAGAATAATAAATAAATATGTCACTGTTTTCAACGGACGAGGAATTTTAAAAATTATGGTAAAACCTACTAGAATTAAATAAAATATCGTTTTATCTGTTATAAAACTTGTTAAATCGGGTAATTTTATCACGATACCTTATAGCATGGCAAGAAAATCATTTATTCGGTAAATCTACCTTTCAGTTCCGCATGTTTTACTAAATGTGTGGTAATATGAACTAGGGTAAACTAACCAGTGAAGGAACACTTAAGCTTCGCTTACCTTTTAAAAAATCATATTAATTTCAAAGTTCGTAATTTTAATTAAATGACAGTGTCAACATATTTGATACTAATTGCAAATTATGTAAAAAAATTGTAGAGAGCTTATATAATATTGTTTTAAAGTTTTGGAGGTTCAAATAACAAGTAGTAAGAAGACCAAGTGAAGGAACAGCTCTTACCAGTGAATGAACACCCAGTAAAGGAACACTTAATTTTGGTTATTTTTTGATGATCTTTATGAATTTATGAGCCATATAAATATTTAAAAACAAGCCTATTCTTGAAATTATAACATATAAATACTTGGAAAATGTTAAATTTTTTTTGTAATCATGAATTTAAAATTAAAGTGTCAACATATTAGCACATACTGTTCATTCACTGGGAAATCTATGCCCAGCAAAGGAACATGCCTGTTCTCTCACTGTTTAGAAGTTGTTTTTAGTATTTTTAACATACTTTTGATGCGGAACATCACTAAAGGTGCAGGAAAATTAAAGTTTATCTTTTATTTTCATTAACTTAGAAAAAATACCAGTAGAGGAACAACTGTTCCCTCACTGGTTTTTCCTCGGTTGGTGATCCAGTGAATAAACACCCCCTTATCTCAGTACTTTATTATGCTATGATGCTTAAAAAAATAAAACGTAACTTCAATAACTATATTTTGAATTCTCTTTTTCACAGTGTGAAAAATAAAACAATTACTTGCAATTAATTCCATTTCAAACATATAAACACAAACACTCACCTTATAATATTTTCATAGAAACAAGGTGTTGCAGAGATAATAGCAAATTCAAAATTTTTTCCAGAGAAGTCTATTTGACCAGGTAATTCAAAACATTGCTAGATGACTTCCTATTGTTTGGCAGTAAGCTATTGTTACCAATCAATCTAAAGAAAAACTTTCGAATTCTTATTTTTAATCAATATATATGAAATGTTCCTTCACTGGGTAGTGTTCCTTCACTGGTTGGTTTACCCTATAATTTTAAAACCAGAATTTCCTGTAAATCGTTACCATGTGAACAGAAAAAATTATTAAAAATTATTTTAACTATTTAATTACAGTCATTTAAGCGAAATCCTTGAAAGAGTTCATACCATAAAACAAAATAATTCTTAATTTTCATTTTCTGAAAGTAATTCAAAATCTATTCAATTAAGCAAATCACACGCATGTTGCTCAATTTCTGTTCTGTAGTAATAAATGTTTAAGAATGCTCTTTGAGTATCTTCGGAACATTTTGAAAACTGTTCACGTACACAATCCTCAGGTTCATGAAGAGTCCTGGAAAAAAATTATTACAATGAAAGGAACGAGAAAATTTTTTATGTATTTCTTAATAACCACCCTTAATGAACATTCTTACAATATTTATTAAAGATAAGGTTAAACATGTATATAATCGAAAAAATAATACTAAAGCAACGAAGATACATAAAAGCTATTTGTATCTGTCGAATCACTTCTGAGGAAGGCCAGATGAAAAATACTAAAAAGCTGTTAGAAAGACATCATATGTTTCGAAACCAGATGAAATCATAAGTCTTAGAGGAGCAATTATCGTTAAACTTTTTCTTCATTCTCCGCAGTCAAACTGGCTTCGATGTTTTCAGTTCCATTTTTACCTTAATTAAATATTTTTTGGCTAAAAACAAAAAAATATTTAATTACGGAATTATTAATATTATTAAGTAACGAAAATTTAATGAAGTCACTATTGAGGAAAATGGAACTAAAAACTACGAAACCAGTTTGATTGTGGAGAATGAAGAAAAAGTTTGATGACAATTGCTCCTCTAAGACTTATGATCTCATCTGATTTCTCTTCGAATCACTTCGAATATGTAAAAAGATATTATTTTGCGTTTCCTAATAAGTAATTTTTTTTAGAAGAATTTTAAAAATAAAGTATTAGTTCGGTTATTGTGGTACACTCTGGGGCTAAAACACTGTGAAGCTTTGAAATATTCTGGAACTGGATCTAAACTTGAATGGCATACGCTTAAATGACTGTTCTGTTCGTATTAAGCTTGTGATTCTCTAAAAATTCATTTAGTATGATTCGCAAAAATAACTATTTAATAATTATTTTTTACCCTTTATGGGTTAATTTAATTTAATAATCACCAAAAAACTTTTGAATAAGAGGTGAACATATTTTCCCTTTATTTTTAACCATGTAACATTGAATGAGAAAATACAGAATTGAATAAACTTAATCGTATAGTTGCAGCGTAATAAATTTTAAAAAGTTAAAATTTTAAATATTTATTTCCTAAGAATTATTTGACCAATTGCGTTCAAAGTTTGATTTTTTTTTCATTTACAATTGCATAGTTTGAAGTTACGTAAAAATATTTATGCTTTGCAATGAAAACAGTTTTCAATCATTAATAAATTCAGTAATAAAAATAATGTATTAAGTTATATTTTTGTATAAAATTGTTTCTTTTGAAATGTGTGTAAAAGGTTTTTGAACCACTTTATTGATTGCAGAGACATATATGACAAAATACGCAATAAAGTAAAATTAGGATTAAGATTTTCAAATTTTAAATGCTTTCATGATTAGAATATTTTGACTGTATTTATATATTATATGTATAAATATTTGCTGGCTACCTATCATTTTTTAGAGTTAAAAATAATAATTCTTCAGAAAAAGGATTTCATTCAGATTAAGTACATTTTTGTGCCTGGTTTCAACCAGTTTAATACATCGTCAGCCAAACTAATTAGCATATTTAAGGTTATGTACTATTTCTACCATTAAATATTGCATTTTAAAACGCAGAAATCTAAATATTGGATCTAGAATTATAAAGGTGTTCCTTTTTTTGGCACACTGTGTGCTAAGATTTAAAAAATAACAAAACCTAACTAAATAAAAAATAGTAAGTGTATTTATTAAAAATAATGTCTCGTAGAATTATTTCTTCCCCTGTAAAAATACTTTTTAATGTATTATAATATCTATTTCTTAAAACCCGCTAGAATAAGGAGTTATTTTATGTAAAATATGTCTAGTTACATACAATCAAATAATGTTGTATTCATTTAAAACAAATAGCTTTTAGTGTATTATAAAGTAACCATTTTCACTTTTTGACGTCATATCGTGAATGTATGGAGGAAAAATATACACCTAATTAAAATCTACCAACGAGGAGCAATGTCTTGTGGTAAGAAATTTAAAAGAAGAATATAGAAAATGAAATAACTTTAAATCTAATACTACAACAAAAGGGTTAAATTAAAAAGAAATGCATTTACCTGCAATAATCTGTAACATCCATGACGCTGCATTTTTCAGATTCTAAATAAGTATCAAGTTCACATTTCTTATCATTTTGCACAGCTAAAAAGAAAAATTCTTTTAAGGCTGTTAGAATAAAAAAATATTGATATCAACCAAAAAAAGGTAAGAATTTGAAACAATTTCTCCTTTGAAGCATTTATTTCCTTGATTAAAAACTTGTTTCTGCACTAAAGGACTTTGACTGTATTGTTAAGAAGTACTGGATAGTTAGAAGCCTAATGATCTAATAGTCAATGGCTGGCATTTGTTTAATAATCAAATACATGTTTCTAATAAATACTAAAGAAAATAAATATATTAGTAGTATGTAACAACTATGATTGTTAAATAAGTACAATTCAAGCTTGGTACCCTTACTTCGATACATCTGAGTATTTTTTTCCAGCCACTCTCGGATATTAAAGCACATTTGTTAATGGGAATGGATAGAGTTAATGACAGTTATGAAACTTTGATAAAAATTGGAGACGAACAAATACTATGCACAAATGGATCGAAAATAAATAATAGCAGAAGCACTTGTTTACGTTACACTAGAGCTGCACAATGAGTTTATTGTGACTGTCTGATCCGAAGACATGACACCACAATTTTGATCCTCTGCAGAGGGAATGGCATCTCCTCTTTGGTAGTCAGATAACCAGAGCGTAAAGTCTAGTACTTTAAGATATAACAGTTTAGATAGCACCGATACCGCGCACTTTCGGCCCCTTCGCAGGACTGGGGCCCCACCCGCTCACTAATCGCAATCATTGAAGCTAGACTTGCGTGGTCCATTGGGAAACGTATTTTATGACCAGTCCATTGTGGGACCCATGAAAAGTAAAATGATAATTACTGGTTTTTTAAAGGGTAGAAGATGTTTCAGTTATGCTAGTAGTTAATAAAGGCAATTAATAATACCTGTATTAGCATCGGTGCCTTCTGTAGAGATTTCATCAAATGTATTCATTGCCTTCATAGCTCGTTCTTCGAATCCAGTTTTGCATATTAAAGCGGCCATTAAAGAGCAGTTTGTATCATTGTAGATCGATCTGAAAAATAAGGGCTAAGTTAATCAATTTAGGTACCAACTATATTTCAAGACAGTCACTTGATGACTATTTTAACAAAGTTCATGCTTGCTATATTGCAATAGTCTAATAAGAGCCGCGAGAATTCAGGTGATAAAGCGTTCCCCTTCTAATTAGGTGATTCGGGCTCGAATCCCATCGATGACCGGTTTACACGAATTCCGCATCCGGCTTGCACCGAACGCAGTGCTGACGTGAACTATCCTCCATCACCCCTCTGCAGAAGATCAAAATTGTGATGGCTTTTCTTCGGATCATCCTGAGGGATGTTTCCCAGACCGACGCCAATAGCCCATTTTGCAGCTCTAGTGCGACATAAATGAACTACAACAACAGTGGTAGACGGATCATGGGTTCCAGTTTTTTTGCCCTCAATTTAACTGTAGGAGGTTCTTGTGGTCTTAATCTCTGTAACGCAGATGCAGGTTAGTTCCATCAAAAAATTCTCCACGAAAGCAAATTTCTCCCAATACTTGAATCAGGAGTTTCCTTGTCTTCTGAATTGGATTCAAAATTACAAGGCTACGGAGTTGAGCATTAACTGTTCAACTAACATTGGCTGTTCAACACTGGTTATAAAATAAAATAAAATAGTCTAATAAAATTGTAATACAGTAACAATATTTTATTATTTGTGTTTAAAAATGCAAAAAAAAAGAATGCATGTGAGTGTAGAATGCTTCTTTAATATTTCTTTTCGAAGATTTTACTACACCTGAATTTACCCTGTTCAACCTTGGACAATAATATTGATACCTTCAGCTATAATATCGTTCGAATTCACTGCAGTTTTAATTGGATTTTAAGAAGTCTCAGTAGATCTGCTTTTAAAATTATTTAGTTTTTCACTGTGAATGGCTTGGGTCTTATGCTTATTGTTGTTTTTCATTGCATAAACGAGTTTTCCTTAAAGAATCTCAATTAACAATCTTGTCAATTATTATTGTTTCTTTTTATATCTTTCGAGTTTTAAAATCGAACTACTTTTCATATACTTCAACCAGAACCTGGCCTTTATCAAACGTCTTGGTTCAACTGTTTGAAACTTATTTATTTCAATAAAAGAAAGTTTTTAGGATTACCCGCACAGATGGTGACCTTTATCTTGATGCTTTTCATACCAGTTCTCTCTACAAGTTGTCCTTTCTCGAATGAAACAGTCATATATAACACTAAGCTGGCCAAAACTAAATATTGATAGAAAAAAATGTCAATTTGTTGATACATTCAATTATTTTCATCATTTTTCTAAATACATGAGTTCAAATTCTCTTATGTGACTAAGAACGAACATATTATATTTTACTGACATTCTATCAGACAAAATAATCTTATGCAAATTTTAAATAGAGTTCGATAAAGGAAGCTTACACCTTTAAAACCTCTCTTTTTTATAAACTAACTCCTTACACCACATTTAAAACAAATCTTCCTGTATGGAGAAATTATCGAAGTATAATGTTCTATTAAAAGTGAATAAGTGAATCAGATGAATTTAGAAGATTTTTAAGGAAAATAAGTTAACTAAATGATTTATTATGCATAAAAAGGCAAGTAATATATATATATATATATATATATGTCACTAAAAATATTTACTTACTGCATGAAATTATTGCACTAAAGTAGATCATGTTTCTGTTCTCTGTGCAAGCCTTTTTTTACCTTAATTATGTTTAAATCTTTCCTCTTTCTATGTAAGATCAATTGAATAATTTATCAGGTTCAAAATTATATCAACCATTTATTTATCTATGCAGATAACGGTCTCTAAAAATTGTTTAAGCAAATAGTGAAATTCTGAAGATAAGTAGGTTATGGTAAGCAGCTGTTTTATCATAATCACAAGCAAAACATAATCATTGCTTTTGATGCATGATTGTAATGTATAAACAAATATTAAGTGGATTCCAAACTTAGCGCTTATCGTTTTAAAATTTTAAACTTGTATGGTATTTTGTAATTATTTTATAATTGAACGTACTATGTTTAAGTTTATTTCGTTTTCTTTCAAATAAGAATAATAAAACATCTTGCATACAAAGTATGATTTTATTATCATGCCGTTTGGTGGTACATTTTGGATAAAAGCATGTAATTTCACCAAAATAAACGATAATTTTAACTTATCTAGTACAATTTGAGAGCACGCAGAAAATGTTTAGTTTGATCTGTTCTATTTTATTTAGTAACAACTTGTTAATTTTGTTTTTAGTCAGTTAGTATTTTAATTACTATGTAAGCAATGAGTTCCCATCTGCAAACGTTTAAAATTTCAAAAAAAATATACATACAAGTGTCTGAACAATTCTAAACTAGACCAGTAACATATTGTTACACAACAGGCTCTTTGAACATCTTAAAATCGATGAGTGGAGGTATCGAGTTCGAATGCCACCATAATCCTGTTTGTACCTATTTAATTTATATTTATTTTTAAATTATTACACATACATATTCCGTCTTGCGTGCTTGCTACGAAGTTCAGCTTATAAGCCTACTGAAATTTGAAGATAATACAGCACAAGAAAAAGAAAGCTGCATTCAGCGGTTGTGGAGGGACTTGAATCTGCGACCTCCCCACCACTGGGAATGTAACTCTTTAATATATTTCTTCAAATTCTGCTGTCTGTTATTTCACTTGACTACAGATTAAGAAAAATGCAAATTCTTATGTAACGATAAACAAGTACTTGAAAGAGTGATGTTAATTTTTTATTTATTTGCTTTCTTTGAGCTTCTCTGACCAAAAGGTATTACCATTTCACCAAACGATCTGCAGATTGGAGATAGCAGGTTAGAACCCTTGCATTACCCTGGAGGCATCTTTGTTGTGTTATTTGTTCTTTAACTTTTAACAGCACTGCAGAATAAGCACATAAACACGGTTAACAAGAGAATCAATATTCAAATGAATAAAATAAGATTCCAGAGTAACAAGATAAAACAACATTAGCTCACCTTGATTCCCTGAAATCTTATATTATACATTTGAATGCTCATTTCCTTGTTAACGACATTAGTTACTCTCCACCTCTCCATAGCGCGTTAAAAAATGCATTTTACCCTGATTTGCCTTTCTGCCACTATGTTTTTTCTTGCTCTGTTTTTTCTCTTTTTTCTCCCTCGGTTTCAGTGGCTTTCTAGTTTTTGTTTTTTAACTTTTTTTTCCCATTTTTATGGGGAACTTTGCATTTTATATTTCTAATCACTTTTGTTCCTTCTGATTCATGTCTGGCAAATCTTGAAAATAGAGCCTGTTTTTGAGAGCTTTAAACATGTCGACTGCCATTTCAATTTTTATTTTATTTTATTTTATGACCGCCGTTGAACAGTCGACCCAATTTTTGGGTTTACGACTACAAATGTTCAACGCCGTAGCCTTGTAATTTTGAACCAATCCAGAAGACAAGGAAACT